TGGTTGATAATTGATTTATTATATGGTGACTGAGGACAAATGTTCAATATATACTGCCACAAATACCAGATTAAACAACATACCTGTCCGGAACCACTAAAAACATATTTCCGAATAATAAACATATATGTGTACGTGCAGCCAGAATTAATGAGCTTATAAGGACTTGGTCTCCAATACATACCCAAATCTTACATGTTTAATACCTTGAACAATATGGCAGTGAAAGAGACTACAAACATATTGAAACTGAAAAAGGAGAAATCATTAAATATCAGGTTGTGATCCTAAGCTTGGGGCGGCCATCTTTGAAAGCTTATCGGGATGTTTACAGCTAAAGTACCGATTTACGCCTACAAACCAAGCAAAAATCTATTCAGCAAATTGTTTATAGTAGGTAACTTGTTAGACTTGTATTGATTATGAAGGCCGAGCGCTTGGCTATATTTAACAGCTTTATCTTGATGCCCCTTAGCCATTAGAGTTCAGATTGGTCGAAACAGGGAAAATACATTATGACAGGAAGTCCCCGGATTTCTAACAAATCAATTCAATTCAATTCAACAGCTATGCTGACTTAATCATTGGAGATATTACTTTCACACTTAAATGTTGTAAACTTGAGCTACGAGTTTATCACGTTTTTTGTTATTGCCAGGGTACCTTGGTTTGGTTTGACATTGTGAAATATTTGCTCAAGTAAGCTGATACTGATTCACTTACCTAGTACTCATAACATGGCGGGAATATGGCTATTCATATACAATATATCTGACAGGTGGTAATATCTCCTTTCCACTCAAAATACGTCCTATCATTTATTAAAGGCACGTCATAACACAAGGCCAAATCATCAAACGTTAATATAAAGCCCATGATTTAAAGAATCAACGACCCCCCTGAATAGGGATGTAACAGTGATATATATTTTGAAGGTCAATTGTAGTTTGTACTCCTTAATTTACTTTCTTCAATTACATTAAGATATATAACCCGTCATCTTGAATTTTCATATTCAGGTACCTTCATCCTCTGTCTAGAATAAAATGACATTCTCTGACTTTATACCAACTCGAAAAATTGTAACATATGATGATATAAATGCAAAAAATAAACAAATAAACAACAGCACCTATTATCAACCACAAAAGTCGACACCAATATATACGTTTGACCCTTAAAGCAAGGGTGTTGCACATACTTGAATGCAGAAAATAAACTAGACTTGTACCTATTTCTTGAAAACCCATTCAAAATGAGGCAAAAATTGGCATCTGTTTTAAGAATTCTGTAAAATTTATTAACTAACTATCCTAGCACCTGACTTGAATAAATATTGTGCAAAGCATGGATATAAGATATTGAAAATGATAGTTTAGCAATTCTTCATATTGAAGAGTGAAGAGTTATTAATTATGTCAGCGACAAGTGCAGCTTAGGATATCAATTATATCTAACCTTTATTGACGCACTGTACTACACATGATTACATCCCTAATAACTACTCAATCTATTTAACGAAAATTATTAAGAGGTTCAAAAAGGTTAACATGAAATTGGCAAAGTCACATTCAGAGCCTCTCTTTATCTAATGCTTGTGAGACACAGCCTGTGGATCCCACAATGGCTAGGCCAGATCAGGAAAGAATCTCATCATTTCTATTGCCAACACTTTTCTGAAAGGTTACAATTTGATATGTTTTGCCAAAATCCTGTAACATAAACAGTCGAAAAGTTCAGCCTGGATATAGATTACATATATACATACTACCCCATTCTTCTCTAAGATATGTTAATGGGAGATATAACCTGACCTTAGCGCTATCTTATCAAGCATGTGGCTTTCAAACAGGCCTCAAAAGATGATACTTCAATTCTATTGTTAGAATATTAGTGTTACATCAGGCCTCTAACCCGCCCCACCCCTCCCTCAATAAATATTTCTCAAGCCTGTGTTCGAGCAAATGTAGGAGGGGGGGGGGGGACATAGAGCCTTGATGCCAGATTTAGTACATTGTTAGAGCACTTTCCATTCTATACTATAACATGATAAGTCTGGAGTTGTGTCTGAAGGCAAACAGATGATCTGCTGAACAGACAAGGAAATCATCCCAAAAATAGAACCAATGAGGGGCCAAACATAACACTAGAATATGCATACGTCCGTGTTAGACAAAAACAAGTTTTCTGATACAATGGCTGGTTAGAGAAATTCTGTAGACCAAAAGGTCAGCCCCTAAAAACTACAATGGTTTTGCAAATGATAAATGAGCAGACATCCAGATCTAAAAATACTGGACTATTGTACAAGATGTTTCATACATGCTTTACATTTGTTTATTCAATCTTCCAATCTGCACAAGGAAACCACAGGATCAACATGATAGGTTAGTAGCGATCAAATTAAGCTCTTGTACTTGAGAAATGGGGGGTAGAGGGACTTGCTGCAAGACTAATAATATGTTTGCATAGAAACAAAAAGAGGCTTCATAAAACAATGAAATATCTCAACTCAAAACAAGAACACTTCATTTTTGCATTATCAAATGACACTCTTCAATACTGATATACTTGCCAGACATGGCCTGATATTGAATTGTATCTAGCTAGTGTCTGTGCCACACCTACAGCATCACTGCCCTAATATTAAATGATATTTAGCAGGTGGAAGTGCATTGAATGTATTGGAAATGATGTCTTGCAAGTCTGAAATAAACCTATCCATCTCCATGCTCATGGTAGGCTCAGTAAATATTAAATAACCTAAATACTTCATTTCAGGATTATTTATTTTTTACCTGACAAAGAAAACTCATCAAACCAATGTGAAACCTGAGATTACATCAACAGAGCAGGTAGCAATACCATAATGCATGCTGAGGTCAAATGGATGGAACAGTTGGCAATACCAGAATGCACCATGGGGTCACATGCAATAAACATTTGCAATACCAACACATATACCTCAAATATACTATAGAATCTACCTTGGAATCACATGGACTGAGCATATGACAACACATAAATGCACCGGGAAGTCAACTGGACAGAGCAGCCCACAATATCAACATACATTTGATATTCAAAACTGACTCACTTGTCCACTTGTCAAATAATGAGTGTTCCAAATAACAAGTATGATGCAAATTGCAAATGCTTATCACAGTTTGAGACCTCTTTACATAGTACTATAGACTGTAAGTATGAGAAAGAAAAGATAAATTTAGTTTAATTTACAGGCCTATCTTTGGTTAGTCATAGCCCAGATAAATTCACATTTCCATTAGTCATATGGTAATGTCTAACCGCAAGCCACATAACAGATATGGCCTTCTGGTCTACTGGGAAGGTCTTCTATTGCAACTTTTATTGCAAAACACAATGTTAAAAAACAGCGAAAGAAGACTGTTGAGGATAAATGAAAATAAACATAAACTTTTATGATTCACATCCTTTTTCTAGCATCTTAGCTGCTGACATGCTTGCGGTAAACCACAAACTATAATGTGCTTATGTCTAATTCATTAGAACAAAGACAGAGTATCCTTGTGACCTCCGCATACTGATCGCCCTTAGAGGATGGCAGGACTGACATGCTACTGAATGTTCCTTTGGACAATAACATCAAACAAACAAATAAACATCCAAAAATACTGACAATACATACAGGAGCACAAACTCCAACAGAAAAACTTCACAAAAAAAGAATTCTACAAAACTTCATGATTACGTGTGGCAGAGATATATTTTAGTTTCGTGTTCTCACAGTAAACAGTAACAGGTTCACAAAGCCCTAACACCTAACCTAAATCTTCCTAAATGTCAAAACATTCTCTCCCACTGTATACATTATACATAAACTTCCTGAACTCGAGACTATCAGAAAATAAAGTACAGGTCGGTATAACCTTTTTTTAATAGATCTAAACCCATTTCCTCTAGTCTAATTAGGAGGGTATTCATGGAATCAATTATGTTCAAATGGGAATCATCTCTGATCTTATATTGTAGCAAGATTTATTAAACCCTGGAGAATTTCGTCATGAATGAAAAAAGTGCAATAACACTGCCAGTCAATTGCGCTCATTTTTCATGCACTGATAAAAGCATAACTCCATTACCAGTTTAATTTCAAACCAAAATTTCATACTTTGGAAATCCAAAATAGATGAAAGCTAATTAAATAAATGTGTGCACTTTGGGATAAATAAAAAAAACTGAACCACCTTCATGAAAAACAATAAATTGTGGATATAAAGTGTGTAAAAATAGCTTTATGATGATTAAATGTTTTGAGAAGGATGGATATGCAAGTACACATCAATAAAGTTAAACACGGATGTGAGATATAAACATGTCAGTTAGGTTTAACACAATTAATATAACAATTCCTCAAGGTCAATACAATAGCAATGGAGAAACTCATAACTATCTTATCCTCTTTTAATATTATAATCATTAATTCCATGGGTAGAACAACCTTGGGTTCATTTCAAATTTATATTATTGGTAATCTCACATTTGAAAGGTTTCAGTAATCTAACAATGACTGGTAATTAACATTATGATAAACCATGACATCTCAAATTTTCTTAGCCCTGAGATGTTTCAGGTGAAACAGAAAGATGCTATGAGTATCAGAATGGGTAATTAATAGGTATTTACTGTTGTTATAAGCACAAAATGTCAAAGCAACATTTCAATGGAAGTTTGAATATTGTGAACATTAGGTAGGGAATATGTATATCAAGCCATATTTCATGAGCTACAATTTTAAATAATATTTTCATTTGAAAAATGGTGCTAAAATATTTACTAGAAAGGTGTCACGATTGTTACGGATGCTAATACCCATCAAAAAATGGTGGCCATAACAATATGTCACCATATCTTGGTGGTGACATAAAAATCTACATTTTTTACTGTCCATACCCTAGAAAGTTTAGAGAAAGTGAAACCATTAAATTGATAAAGAGATGGAAAAATAATGTAATTTTTACCTGACTTATGGCTGGTTTTTTCTTGACGTTACAGGATCGACGACGTGGGGCTATCCCGATCTCTATCCCTCTTAGGATGGAATCAACCACTGCAACACAGAAGAAAAGAACTATTTTGTGAAATATTCACCATAATGCTTCATGTTTCCAATTTACATGCGCTATCCTCCACATAATGTTAGGTGAAATGTGACTGTCCCATTACTGTCATTAGAATACTCCAGTTTCTGGTAAATTAACTTCAGAATATAGTTCCTAGAGGTCATAACGACATAACTGTCATCATTCTTTTCTGGAAAATTGAGATCGATATATGTTCAGATTACATGCCATTAATACTTACCATGATTTATATCTTTATTTCCATAAACAATTCCAAGAATCAGACATTAAATGAACTCGTGTTTATTATTTACTTGAGGTTAAAATACTTTTGTTATAAACAGTAAACAATAAGATGTGTCCTTCATAAGAGTGCATATCCGCTATGTGTATTTCCTTCTTAACTGGCTATTGATATTAATTCCATGCTTCAAAGTTTCATCCGTCTGCTTAGGAGTGATGCATTATGGGAACTTATCATTCGATTCAATGACACTGAGAGAGTTCTAATCAGGCACTGGAGGAAACTGATGATAATCCTTTCGAAGATATTGCACTGAGGTCAAATATCTACAGTTATATTTTTCAATTTTTACCACACCACATTTTTATTAAACTCTGCATAATTTCCTTAACCTTCCAATATCATACCAAGAATTGTGGAATTCCTCTATAGGTTTCCTAAACTACTATACAGACTACTCATCTACTGACTTTTTGATCGACAATACAAAGTTATAGAGTGCCCACAGAAATCTCATGATGGTATGTTGATTTTGTAGATCCAACCTTTGAAATGATTTTAAAGAATTGTTACAATTTATTATCCAAGACAGAACTGGAGAGGATTTCCAATTTGTTCAAGTCAGCCATTGAAGTTTCATTGCAAAATTTGAAATTCAAAATAAAAGTTATTTTCCGGAAATTTTTAATATCACATAAAGGTAATTTTCATGATGATGGCTACTATACAGTTAATGGTCTATTATGGTCTTATTAACTCGGCTTTTATCATCTTTTAGAATAGTCTCAGGTCATGGCGATTCATTCCTTTGAAATGAAAATAGATTGACATTCTTTCACATCCATAGTCAGTCTTAATGAGGACATTACAAAGAAAGGGCGTGGGGTCACCAAGGGGAACAGCCATGATGCCAATAGCCGCCAAGGCCTCATGAATGATTTAGCAAACAAATCCAGTATTGACAGTCAAACATTGTGTAAACATAAAATACAAGCTGACCTCAATTAATGATATCCGATACAAAAATCAATTCAAATAGTTTCTGTCAAAATCGACTGTTTTGAAAAAACATCTCGAACAATTAGAATTTGAATTAAATAATCAAAAAGAGCTTTGGTTGTAGGAGAAATCATAATGAAATTCAAATCCAGGTGCTCGATAAAAACTAGTTACTGCAAATGACACAAATATCATTTTGAACAAAGACATCAACATAACGCCGTAGATTACGAATCGATTTATGTAAATCAACAATTAATCATGAACCCGGATCCTTCAATTGGAAATCCTTGATGAATATTAAGCTCCTGTATGTCTATACTTTAGTATTGGCAATACATAATTACTATTTGTCCCTGATAGAGGAGAGGGCAATCAATGTGGGATTCTATTTCAGTTGATATGTAATTAACTTGCAAGTTACAGAGGTCTTAGAAATGCCTTCGGTATTGCGTTGAATTTGACAACAACAGTGTAATTCAAACAGATAAAGTACGCTAATATAATATAAGAGTGCAAGTCTAGAACTGACAGATTTTAATGTCCAGAAGCCCAATCTTAGCAGATTCTTGTTTTTACGCATAAACAATATCAGTAAAGACCCCTTCTCACCTGAATGATCTATAATTTTCATCTGTATCATGCAGGGGTCTTCATTGTGTTCCTCCAATACAGTGTCATCAGTCACAGTCAACTCCTAATGGAATACAATAATATATATGTCAGGAATACAATAACATCTTCGGGTAGACAATAACATATACAATGTATATAGCAGCATAAATATTTCATGTGTAAGTTAGTATGCACCAGTGACCACAATAAGAATGGAAGTAGAGAACACAATTAGGTTCCAATCAGATTTCTATGTACCAAACGTGTTCTCATTCTCCAAATTATGACCTGCATGTTGTATCATATAATTTTACAACGTGACATTTCATGCGGAAAGGTGATTCACCTTGACCTAATATGCTCCTTGTTTATTAAAGTCTATAAAATAAACCTTTTGATAAATAATGATACAATTCAATTTACAATTATTAAGGATTTGTGGATATGCATACCAAAGTGGTTGGATTTATCAATACAACCTAGCTACAAGAGCGCAGCTGGTTATGACATCACTGTAATGTAACTAGGCTATAAATTATACTTTATCAGTTATTAAGGTTGAATTATTGTGGAACAATTAGCAAGCACTCTAGCTACAATTCATCTGAAATAGATACCATATTCGACCTTCTATACTTTGAACATACGTATAGCTTTAATTGACTAATGAATGCCTCATTTCTTACATGGATTTTCTCTGTATCGCTAATTGACACAGTTATTGATATTAAATTCATCTTAATTATCCAGAAAAAATAATCATGATTAAATCAATAATGAAGACATATTATACTATACAGAAACAAGATAAATTCACTACATCTTTTTAGGTTTTATTTTTCACCATTACATTTCAAAATATTGTTTACAATCTTTGTTCATAATAACAAATTTAGACCTTAAAGGTTGGAAATACTCTATATGCTAAAACGATTTGCTTGACCTGTTGACAACTGAATTAAAGCACTGCTAAAAATGTTATAATATCAACCAGAACAACGGCAACGCCAAAGCGTAGCGAATCCCATCGAACAGAAATGGCTGGCATTTTTACAAACGAATAGCAAATATCATAAAACAACACACCAGAAAGGCCACCATTTTCAAAATGGTTGCTCACTAGCCAAGTTGTCATCAGAAGAAATAATGTGCTTTAAAGTGGCCACCTCTAAAATTTTTGAAAAATCACACACGTACTTGTAAAATAACACACATAAAAATGGTGGCCATTTTTCAAAATGGCCGACTACTCCCCAAAGTTTTATTAGACAATGTGCCATGCTTAAAGTATTCACATATCAAATATGAACAAAATCGCTCCACTACTTTTCGAGTTATAGTAAAATATGTTAAAATGGCGGCCATTTTTCAAAATGGCCACTGTCTACCAAAAGTGTCATTAGAAATAGACAGTGTGCCATGCTTATAGTATTCACATACCAAATATGAACAAAATCACTCCACTACTTTTCGAGTTATAGTAAAATACATTAAAATGGCGGCCATTTTTCAAAATTTTTTTCAAAATGGCCGCCTTCTACCAAAAGTGTCATAGGACAGTGTGCCATGCTTATAGTATTCACATACCAAATATGAACAAAATCGCTCCACTACTTTTCGAGTTATAGTAAAATACATTAAAATGGCGGCCATTTTTCAAAATTTTTTTCAAAATGGCCGCCTTCTACCAAAAGTGTCTTTAGACAGTGTGCAATGCTTATTGTATTCACATACCAAATATGAACAAAATCGCTCCACTATTTTTTGAGTTATAGCAAAAATCGTAAAATGACGAGTAAAGGCCGCCATTTTTCAAGATGGCTGCCATGTGCTTCTTTAATATCTACATTTGTAGCATTATTAATGTCCTTTATAATTTTTTTACATTTAAAACATATTGCTATTACAGTTTTACATATTACACCTAAATTACTGTAAAATCGGCACTAAAATGGCCGCCATTTTGAAATGAGCGGCCATTTTGAAAATCGGCTTTTGAGCAGAACTTCTACCCCCATAGGGTATATGTGTACAAAATATGAACAAAAACGGGCCAACAGTATTTGAGTTATTGCCCGGACTGACGGACGGACAGACGGACGGACGGACGTCATTTGTTGTTGCTGCATTGGTTTCTTCATTCATTTTCTTCTTTCATTGTCTTGATTTGATTGCGATGTTACTTATCTTTCTTCAGGGTCCACAGACTTGAGACTGCGCGGACGGACGTACGTACGGACGGACGGACGGACGTACGTACGGACGTACGTACAGACGGACGGACGGACGGACGGACGGACGGAGGCGTTCCCTATATCCCTCCGAACTTCGTTCGATGGTATCCCTCCGAACTTCGTTCGATGGGATAATAATATCAAAAATGGGCACCACGATCACCAACACGTTTTGTTAATAGTCAATGCAAGTACTTTATTTTGAGCCACGGTGACCTATTAAATATCTATGACTTAACGGATATTAACGATTATGGAATAATGTGTCATTGTTATAATCACGCAAGATCAAGCTAATATTCTCGTTACTTTCTACTCAGATGTCGGATCAATTATTTCTTTAATCCAATTCATTATTCTATGAATCCCTGCCTCCTTAATAAGGATAGACATCCATTGCATTCTTCGTTTCAACCATCATTATCTAGATTTTCATAATTTGCTTTTTATCATTATGGTTTATTGGTCTCTTGAAAACATTGGGATAAGTCTAATAAAACAAACAATCAATAAAACAAAACAAAAATACCCATTATACAAGAACACCAATTACATGTTATAAGAATACCTATTATACAAGAACACCAATTACATGTTATAAGAATACCTATTATACAAGAACACCAATTACATGTTATAAGAATACCTATTATACAAGAACACCAATTACATGTTATAAGAATACCTATTATACAAGAACACCAATTACATGTTATAAGAATACCTAATACAAGAATACCTATTATACAAGAACAACCATAGTATCACCCAAGAATACCTATCACACATGAATACCCATTGTAAACAAGACTCCAGACTTTTACAAACCAGTTACTGTTATTTCCCATATAGTCTAACCTATAAATGTGCTCTAACCACAATATTTAAACAATATGCACATGCACCTATAAGACCTAGACTAACAACAGGTCTGCCACAATGGTACACCTGGTTCACTCACATTTAGTGGTAGACCAATATGGCAGAAACCACAAAAGAAACAACGAAAAAACACTCAGAGAAAGCCTTGGAGAAACCGCAAATGAAGCATAAATGGGAACAAGTTTGGATTAGGGTGATAAACAATTAAGTGATTTTCAAATTGTGGTAGGGAGAGTCCCTTTAATAAAATACAACGAAAGCGTAATACTTCCTTTGAACTCTCTTGAAATGCTCTAAGGAGAATGATGATATGCTGATATAGCAATCAATTGTTTCCAATGAAATAAAGTTCTCGCTCGAGTAATATTCCAAGGCCAATCTTATATGACTGAAAGGGGATCTGCGTTATTATATTCTGCAAGAGTAGACTATGGGGTCTACTTGGAAAGAATTGTTTATTTGACATAAAGAATTACCATAGTCTAAATTACCATACTATATCATTGGCATGCTCGAAAAAGTATCTCATAAATCTGAAAAGATCTTTATTCACCTGTAGATGGTTCTATGATAATGTAAGACATAACATAATAGCAATGTGACCTAATAACTTAATCTAAACACATAAATATTACTGTGGCAGTGAATTAGATGGGTTGAATATCTGAACAATATATTTTGTGTCTTGTACGGATGCACTTATATGGGTACACCCCGCCCCCACTTACATACAGTTTCTATAGAATGGGACAGGGGAGATATGGAGGGCAGAAGCTTTATGTAAGACTACATTTCACATATATTTTATTTTACTCATTTTCATTCAAAATTTCACGAAATAGGAAGTTGCCTGTTTTCATATATGGGATGAAAGTGTGGTAATGGTCATCCTCTGAAAGGGTATTGACTATTGAGGTTATGAGGTTAGCCTACTGTCTGTGGATTATACCAGTGACTGCCATATATCACAATTGTGGCGAGCATGTGGCCAACTTAACAACATTTGTGGTGTAATTAATTCAAATTTTGTAAAAAATAGCAGCTGAAACTGACCTTTGAGTGACCCATGAAAAACTTACTTTTCCGACCCCTCCCTCCAAACTAAAAACCATAACCTTGATGCAAGGAGGCAAGCAGTAGATAAGGTAAATCATGCTATTGAATATGGTTCAACATCTGTTCAGTATAGGAAGGCTGGCATAAGCATATTTAAGTTAAGATTGATCTAAAAACTGCTCTTTGAATGGAAATTAAAGAATCTATGACTGTTCATAAAAGCAAATTCAATTCTATGCAATCAATGTTTTACTTATCCCTACAGAATCTAACCAGGCATATGTTGTCTTTTTACAGCCAGCATTTAATAAAATAGCTTGTTTATACACGCAACTAAATAGAGATGATAACATGAAGATGCCAATGCCAGGTATATCATAACACGAAAATATTACATCCGTCTCTTTCTATAAAATATTGATATTCTCAAAATTTATCAGAATCCTTGAGCGGTTAACAGCATTTGACATAAGTGCACTCTGGAAAAAAGTAATTTCGGAGGAAATCAAAATTGATAGATTTGTCTAAATGAGAGTGGATGATGATCGATCAAATTTTCTTGAATGTCATAATGTCAACTAACATCGCAGAGCAAGAATTTATCATAACAAAGAACAACTTGACTTGTGTCTATTTTTCAACACGGTTCAGTTCGTTTCTAACTTGTTAGTCAAGATCATTTCAATGTAAAATTGCATAATTCGATTATACATTGAACATAAAATGGCAGAAACTAATTTTCGTACCAGGAATAAATCTTTCACGATCCTATGTCATATCCAAATCATCTGGATTATATTTCATCTAACCATATTTATCTAATTCAATTTCCAAATGAAACATCGATTTACAATCTAATAATACCGCACGGCTATTGATATGGAAATACTGGAACTGTTTTAAAAATCAATAACTTTTGCGTGATTCCATTAGTACGATAGTTAGGGCAATGTGACATTTCATTATTTTATTTGGCTGTAAATATCAGGTTAGAATTTCCTTCTTATAATTTTCCCAAGTCGATCAAATATATGTGGGTTCAAATCAATATACATTGTATTATATATACCTATTACACGATATATAGTATTTCTGGCTTTTGGAGAGCGAGATTAATGTTGTGAGCCTTAAATTTTCAAATCCAATGAGTCTTTTATCAGAATTTATCGATTATGGTAGAAATGTTTACGGCAGCTTCAAACATAGCGTAAGTGCGGCTAAAATTGTAATTTATTGAAGAGGCTAGATTTGCTCTCAAGAAGATTGGGTCAATAAACGCCTTGTTACAGGATGTATCTCTATCAGGCAGAACTAGCATGATTGATTGAAGAATCCCTATGCATTGAATTCATTATCGAGTTCATTAGTTGTTCGTGTTGGCGTGGCCAAGAATTTCACAAAAGATCTTGATCTGAATTTACCAAATATTTTGTATTTCCTTAATTCATATTGTAAATTGAATTGTTATTGTGAATTGTAATTGTGAAACTATCAGATAATAATATATTATTATTTTCTTTGATTACATATGAAATCAATATCTTGGAACCTTATACCATGGATAGAATCCTACAAGTCAAAACATAAACTAAATACAAGGACAACATAAAATATTAAAAATCTGCAACTTCTTACCCCAGATGTTTCATTATATGCCTGGATAACTGCCGAATACCACTGCCTTATACCCTCGGTACAGTAGACAGAGACACGGTAGCCAATCAAAACTGTTGGCGTGGTTGAGATAATACTCTGACCGTCTTGGTAGTCTATCCAAGATTTAATTGCCTGGCGGACATCAGGATATTCCTTGGCTGCTGATTGGTTGATGAGGTCCTCCTGGAACGATAAAAATCAATCTATGAAAAATCAAAATTCAATGCAATTAGGAATTGAATGCGACGGGCACAATGAACGAGACAATTAATTGTCACAACTTCAATTATTCCATTTTATGTTCATTTTAATAAACTTCGATTTACGACAATAAACAAATAACATTGCATTGGTACCAATGAATTCCAGAATAGCTATTAAATAGAACAACATAATTTCAAGGTCACCGACGGTTTATTGGATTCAGTAGCAATAAAGCGTATTACAAGAATTCACATTTAGATTGATAGCCAACTCAGACCTAAGGTCACATTGAATCCCTCAAGGCTGATAACCTAGTTTATTACCATTTCTTTTTATTACATCTTCTAATTTTCTCTCCGCTTCAGTGAGTATGAGTTTGTCATGTAAGCCGCTATATACTTAATCTGTAGTGAAATATACTTTAATTACTCAAGCTAGACAGAAAATTAATGGACACTGAAAATATATGGAGGTCTCCTATTGAAGATCTCCATACTGTATATTAAACCTATACCTATTGATCGGTGATAAATTTTAGGAGATAAAATAGTTAACTGATTTAGAATCTTTCAGACAAAACCTTCCAAGAACAGTGATTTATTCCATACTAAGGAGGGTTTACTGAGATTTCACACACAGCAAGGCAAGGTGTGTAAAATTCCAGTTAATCAGAACATTATCATTTTCACTAGAATCGAATAAAAATAGGCTGGGTGCATGAGAGTGGATGCATGCTTGATTATTTCATGCATCTACGTGATTTCAAATAATATTTGAAAAACGAAATCAGGCACAGTATATCATTTGAAATCATGTAGATGCATGAAATAATCAAGCATGCATCCACTCTCATGCACTCAGGCTATTTTTATTTGATTCTTGTGAAAATGATACTGTCAACTTCATAGTTGAGTGAAAATCTATAAATAGTATCATAGGGAATAACAAGCCAGGTGCTTATGCAGGTCAAATGTCTCATTATGTCTGAATGTCAAATTGATAGTGTTGACCTAATTAACCCTTGCAGAAAAAATTTCCTTGCAAAAATCATTCTTTTTAGTGTTATTGGTTAATATCTTTTGCAATATGTGAAAAGTATTTAGCACATGACTCAATGAATATTAGATGATTTAATGCACTCATGCATTGTTTCCTAGACTTTGCATCCATGCTGCAGCACTCATGCAAAGCCTGGAAACAACACATATTAAATCATCCTACAATTCATTGAGTCCTTGGCTTCAATCACTTAATAAGTGAGTTATCCAGTTAATTAATTATGAATAACCTGTGATAAACAGTACCTTATATGAGAGCATGTCATTGTCCTCAACATATCCAATCTGTTGGTCTTGGAGGTACTCAACTGGTTTAAGCCGATGATTCGCAATGCCTGGTTTATCTATGATAGTCTTGAAATTCTGAAAAAAACAAAGTAGGGCAAAATATATAAATAAAATTAATAAACAAACAAGGTTATTTCAATACATTACAACAACCATAATACATATAAATTTGCCTGTGCAAACATCTTTACATAAATAACAATGAAAATATTGTTTAACATTGCCTCAATAATATGGCTAATATGCATTTGTTATATAGATGTGTTAGATACAGACAACATATTCAAAATAATAGTTTTTTTCTAAATAAATCAACGATTGGAGTTCAACTCCGGAACATGACCTAGACTTCTGCATTCAGGTTTCAAAACAAAGCACCAAACACTCCTGATAAATGTCAGCAATGTTTAGATGTTGGCCCTTGCATAAATGTTGTAAAATGTCAGCTAAAAGTGAAGAAATCAGCAGTAAGAGTCAAGCAGTCACCTTACTTGTTAATGATAACAATTTCAGAAATATGATATGACATTCCATTCACTATAACCTATAGGAAGATGGTGGGTGGAGGAGTAGTAGAGCGGGACCTCTAAATAACAAAATGCTGATATATGGCAGACTAGGAACTAGAGATAGCGTTCTTGCCTAAACCTGAACCATGACCTGCTGCTGATAGCTGACTCTATTTATGTTGGCCAGGTTTGCAGTATTTATAAAGAGAACATGGTAAAAAGCATATAAGTATAAGTAGTGGCATGATTGAAACATTATGAACCAGGAATCCAAAGTGCAATGTTTGGTATGATACTACTGTCTAATTTCAGTGAAAGTTAATTCGTCTTGCTCCTCTCAACTATTTATTTCACTAACCAGAGTTCATGTCTTTCAAAATCATGCAGTTTTTCACCATTCTGAGCACTTTTCAAGTGATTTTGGGCCAAAGTTGTCAAATGTGTAGCCCCTGGAATTTTTTGAAAAGTAAACAACTCTCCCCTAGGCAAAAGATGGCAAGGGCCTGGAGCCACTCTGCCCCATCCTTTGTCTTTCACCCTGAGCAGAGAGTAAGGAAAGGATCATTCAGACTTGATGTAAAACTCAAAATGATCAACATCTGTTAAAATTACCAATACACATCCTTCCTGACTGCCAAGTACAACATATCACTTTCTACATAATGACCATAACAGTGAAATATAAGAGCACACAAACACAAACATACATCATAGTAATGTCACAGATGATCTTACTATACATGTGTGAACCATCACAGACCATCTATTTTATCTTACCCTGAAGTCATCTCATGTACTATATAGCCTCTGACCAAGACGGAAAATTTTATATTTACCAATCAGAAAGCAAGGCATAAGCAGACTTATATGTTTCCCTAATATGGAGAACCATTTTTGAGAAGCAAAATGCTCTGATTGAATTGTCTTGGCTAGTTTATCAGTAAAGGTCAATAAGTGGGAGACATTACAAAGGGTAGTTCCCTCCAGCAAGGGTCATCTCTACAACCCAGGTGCTATCAGTCAATGACCTTCTGAACCCACTTTCCCAGGCCTCTATAAACCTTCCAAATACCCCTATGGCACCTCAAAGTGTACCATAAAGATATGATTTCAATACCAGACGTCTGCTAACAAATGTGGCACAGTTAAACAAGATGAGTGTACCAATCTGTTATAATTTCTCTGTGACCATCTCTCTCTCTAAATTCAGATGAGTCTCCCACTTTTTGCACTTCTGTATAATCTGGCATGTTGACTATGTGTCTCTATGGTTTGTTCATTGTAAAATCTATTATTTTCTTCCTTATTTTAAATTTTATAACATTGCCATGCTTTTCTAACATGGTCATGCCATTTTATCCAGAAGGGATGTCCAATAGATCACAACCTTGCTATCATCATTAGCTTTCAGTTAACACCACCTGACACCCTTACTCAAACACCAGACTCAAATATCAACAAAATTGATCCCTGTCATCTCCAACTGTCTGAAATAGACCACCCTTTGTAAGACCTTGACAGACATCATCCACTCTAATTTAGACCCCCTCTAATCTAACCTAGAGACAATTTCATAACCTTGTCTTTATCCATCTGAATAATTACATTTTCTGCCCAAAGAAGCTTACATATCCATTCCACTTTAGAAGTTCCAAAAATACTGTGAAAGCTCCATTTGAGACCATTAAGACCATATCAGTAGTTAAATCAACAGTATACTTAAGAGTGAAGTATAGCTAGTAAAAGGGTATTCAGGGTATTCTGTGACCATAACCATACTAAGTTACTAATTTCACAGTATCCTTAACAACATGCTCTCTAAAAGTACATGCCCTGCTGATGGAAGATGATATATTAATTCCTTAGACAATCAGGAGTTTCTCAGTGATTGGTCATGGATACATATCCCAGATGACTAACGTAGCTACAGTTTGAATTGTGCTCTAACAAGATTATTACCATTGTGGTTTTCCATTCACTCTCCCTCATTTGACAAACTTGATGACGCATCAGAAGAATTGAGAAAGAACCCTCAGAACAATGCAGTCCATATATCTCATATATCCCCTCCCTTTGCTAATGAATAACACTTGTTATTCTCCCCAAGAGGGCACCTAGAACTGAGGGTGCTGATAACAGCTGGGTAATTAACCGTTTGAACTCTATGTTCTTATAGCCGAGTAAATTATAGAAGAGATACAAGGGAACTGAATACCAAGGGCACATCATTAAATCATTTCTGAGTACACTTAAAATTAATGTGGCGTACCAGAAGGTGATCAGATTTCTCCCGCATATATTGATTGTGCCAACAAGGCTAGCTTAGCTTACGAGTAACAGTTAATTTCCTGTAGATATTACATTCTAATAAGTGACTCCCTCTATTGAGTGAACTAGGAACTAAATACAATAACAAAACATAATGACATACATTTTATATGACTGATGTATAAATGATGGTACTTCATCGATATACAAACATATTCATCATATTTATACAGTAATGAAATAAACTGTATCTGACATTTTATTTTTTGAACTGCAACAGCCAACAAATGTCAGGTATTGTAAAAATTCAAATGTTTCTCCCAAAACATTCATTATTTTCGTAAATCTACATGCATACTACATATGAAAACATTAATTGAATTGAATGGTGGTATATATAAATTGTAAGGTAAATGAATGTATGGAATTATATAGCGGATGTACTCCGGGCTTGAAACCTTGTTGTGAGCAAGTATTTATGACAACATATTTCTGTTTGCAATACAACTATCTACAACCCTGTATTGAACATATACTTGTATTAAACCATCTGCCTAGTGGTTTTCTGATTTATTAGTAGCTACTGTATGTATATAATTGCTGCATGATAGAAGGATTCTACTATATTGGAATGTCCCCCATCCCTACACATAAAGCATTGAATTCTAACCACTATATTTTACACCAAGAGAAAGGGGAAATGTTTTTATGAATGTCAATGGTGTCTTTTTAAAGCAGCCATCTTTCTGCCTGGCAATGATCCTAGCTTGATGGTGCATCATGGACAAGCACATATCCATGTATACCTCAGGCCAGTAGCCAGCTTTTGCCAAAGGAGTTAACTATTCAAAAAATTCCATGTTTGACAACTTTGGCCCAAAATCACCGAAAGGTGCTCATAATAGTGAATGAAAAACTGCATGATTTTGAAAGAATTTTTGACTATGACTAGATGACCCCTCCCTGGCTGCAGGCCCAAACCTTTTTCTTGAAGCTATCTACATTTTGAAAACTTAACATAGGTAACTAAAGTGAAGGATATCTGGTTCCTTGCACTTGTATGATAAGGAAAGAAGTCAAGAACCCTCTTATTAAAGCATTGAAAGCAATAGATTGCTAATAAGGATTCAAGACTTCAATCTAAAAATTAGGCAGGTTTCAATGTGAGTTACTCTATTGTTTTGATCAAAAGACCCCTTGCTACAAGAATTTGCTCAATAACTCCCAATCAAACAATATATCCCAAAATCTGTTGACAGGGTCTTGTTTTTAGGTATTTGAATAGAATATCCAAATAACCTTGAGCATGAGTATCTGTTGTACTTACCAAGCAAGGCCAATGAATTCTGGTATGTCGTGCCTTCTTCATTGGGTCAACACGAGGAGCAAACACCAGTGTACGCTCTACCAGGAAGACCTGCCATACGTCACAAGCTTTCTGCCATTTCCTGTCTGACCATTCTTGGTTGTCATACTCTACCATCACCTGGAAATACAGAATAGAACTTTATGAAAATATGTGTATGCATACTGAAGGAGAAAATTCTTAACAGGAGGTTACAGCCATTATATATCTAACAGTATCAGTGAAGTATTCTCTTTTCTAAAATGTCCTAGAAATATAGTTTATTATCTTAAAACACTGTGACAAATCTTTGCAAGTGAAGTTAATCCAACATTCTTGAGGTTTACTTGAGACCCCTCCCCATACAGGAAGGAGTGGGAATTTTGATAAATAAAAATTTGGGCTGTCAAATTCCCTACCCTGAGACCAACCTAGTAAGACAATTCCCCATCCCGAGAGCAAGAATAGTGGGTCAAATACTTGTATATTCAAAATTCCTATTCATTGGGAATATGCATTTCAAGTCCCTACTCCTGGGACGAAGTACGATGTCAAAATCCTACCTACTGATACAATATTGCCGAATTCCCAACCTTCCCCACATGGGAGGTCTCACGCAAACCTTTACATGATTATTAGCATAGATGAAAATAGGTAAACAACTTGCTATTCTTATATATACCTGATAATATTTACATGTATTCAAAAATAGACTTTAAATATGTAATTATTAAATAGTATAGGAAGACATCTACAATGCTCATATAAAACTACTGACATATTAGGTTGAAAATTCAGGTGCTACTATAACGCTAAAGCCTTTTGTGTACCTCAAATAGAAGCCATCCGTTAAAATTCAACCAGTTATATTCTTATCTAATATGACAGATGTACTGATACCGACTCTATATTAAGAAGACTGGTGTAATCTTTATTCATGATGATGATAAAAAGTTTAAAATATGTAAGATGGCAGGTGGTTGGTACAAATTATTGTACTACTTGTATTCTATAAAGATGACCTTGGTTGCGCATGTTCAACATAGTACAACTGCAGGTGGTTTTTTCAACATTTGATTCAATAGATAAAATCACCATGTAATTTGAAAGTGAAAGGAGGTATGATTAGATACCACACCCAGTGTGGGCTAGAGGTATCTAGCATTGAAAAGATGAGACGATTCTGGTACACGTTTTGTATATCTTTTAATGATAGCCTAGAGTAATGTAGTTTCATATAGATATATTTATTTTGTAATGACTAATATGTCCAGTCATGACATCTAAAGAGTCAATAAAAGATACACACCTCTATACATGTATATAGAAAAAGATCAAAATGAAATACTTCCATGTACTATTAGATTATGTTTTGTTCCTGTTTCTAAGATATAATCCTTATGTTCAAAAATGGACAGAAAGCCCATGTCCCTACCAACCACAAACTGTTAAAAGGCCAGTTGTATTGATTCAGTCAAACATTAGATATGAAGATAACCAACCAAGGTAGCACATCCAATGAAAATAACATACCTGGTGATTTGGTTAATAGAGATGTGATTTAATCATGAAATAATCTTATTTATGATCAGAATTATATCACAGAGTTTTCCCATTAAAATAGCCATGAAAAAATCAAATTACTTGTTGATATAACTATTTTTAGCATTATTCACTAGACCTAACAAAAGATAGAAGTAACATATTTCATAAAAGGGAAACACTGACTATTACAATGCTAGTTCCCCAGGATCTAATGGTCTAACCCTCAAGGTAAAATTAAAGAAAACCAGAGTTGAGCTATCGGGGGGGGGGGGGGGCATGCTATACATAAATAAATCCATTAGATGACTATAGGTAAGTTGTACACCTATCATAATTGTCACAGTTTGTTTGGGTGCACTGCCAATGGCAACATCTGCTCTAACATTATGCTCAGTGAGGTAATGCTGAGCCTATATATCATGTACAACATAGCTATTCATCATATTAATGTACAGTATGGACTTGAATGTGTTTTACAAATATATATAAAATATAAGAAATCATATAGGCATTTTTATCAATGAGATAAATCAAGATCTAAGTTAAGGAGAAAGAGAAATCTGATTAATTAACTCAAATAGTGATCTCCCCAGCATTAAAGCAAGTGGGCATAGCACCTACCTGAGATTTTAAAAACAGGCCTGATATAACCTGAAAATTTGTTTGCACCCACTTGAAAATGAGAAATACATGAAAAATTAGCATATTTTGACCAATTTCAGTCTGAATTGTGAAAATGAGAACTTTGAGCCCATTTGAGAAAAAATACAGCAGAGAAAACTGTAGAACCTTTTATACATGACTTTGAAAATATATCCAAAATTAGCTGTACTAGGCCTACCTTAACATGTATAATGGTGCTATATTTAAGTATGATGCTATTTGAAAACAAGTTACTCACAAGTTACCTAACAACATACATGATCCTGAAGATAGAAATCTTTACCACCCAAGAAAAGCCTTAAACCTTATTTGATACTAAGGTTGAATGATAGTGTACTGTAAAAACCTCATAGCCTTCATATTGATCTCAAATCATATTACGATGAATGTGTGATGATACAAGAATATCAAGATTAAGCTATAAATAATATCTATCCTCAGATGAACTTATTCTTATATCAAGACTCAAGAGACAAAGGTTATATATATATACATTTAGTAGTCTTCAAAGGATTTTTTAGATACACTTTTGTTATTCTAAGTGCAATATTTTAGGGTTTCTAGCATTTTAGGAGGCACATTAAATTAATGGAAGACTATATTGGTGTTACATGAAAGTTTTGCACTTCAGAGATTTCAATCTGAGGAAAACACTGCACATCTCTTAATCAACATGAGCATGAACCAATACAAGATTAATCGTCAATATCAAGGGATCCATGTGATATATTATTGTACAAGAAACTTCATTTTATGATATATCTCATGGATTGCCATGACAACTGAGAGTTTGCTTGCATTGGGTATGTGTTACCAACACTTTCTCATTTACCCTCTTAGTTTCCTAGCATCAAAATATAGGTTTAAAGCAGGCAGTTCACTATGGTAGCAGCATAAGAAAGATTTCAACTAAATTTCATCATCTTTTTATTTTATTCTATAATTTAAATATGCTACTCATATTCACCTTAAAAAATACATGAATCGATGCAATGCATAATTCATATAATTTTCTGTCACTGGTTAAAAAACTTTCGAAATATTCTTAATTACCAGTCCTGAATAAGGTCAATTATAACATCAGAAGGCTGAGCCGCATACATACAAAATATGATATTCAGAGTCAAAATAATTATTACTATATAAAATAACAAGAGCATGAATGACATTTCAGATAAATTTAACATCCCAAATGCAAACAGAAAGCTGTATGCATTCCTCAACAGATTTATAAAACAGTCCCTAAATGTAAATATGAACAGAAAAGTGCATATAGACATTTCTCATAATTGGATAATTGATGCCTTTATATTAAACCCTTTAGAGTTGAGGACATCACAAAATAGATCTAAGAATGTCACGATATGTTCAATGCTTTTAGAAATCGCACAAAGAAAACTTGTACTTTTGCCTGGTTCCCCAAGATCATATTCAAGAATTGTAAACTTTCCCAATAAAAGTTATATAATATATACTTTAGTCCCCTCAAACATATGTTGGGAATATGACATACCGATACTGAACATGGACTCATATTGATCAAAAGATTAAAACAATATTTACACTATGAGCCTGCTGGCATGTTGTAAGCATGTGACCTTTTTATGCAAATGAACTGCCGGAACTACTTTCTCTCTATTATTATTCACTAAACCAGCACATGCTGTACATAATATAGTAGTAGATTATTTCACAACATAGAGGCTGAGTAATATCGAAGCAGAATCAATATAACTCTCCTTTATTAGAGCCGTTGCCATGGAAATAAAAATATTTTCTCCAAGATTTACTTCTTTTGTCCTAGATCAGAAAATGGCTGTAGCTATTACATTTAGCCGATTCCATCTTATTGAACTTAGGGAATGTTTAGAACCAAACACTGAAATCATTTCAGCTGACATAACAATGCTCCTTATAACTGATGTCATGAACTTTAAGACTATAATATAACATTCAGAGAACATATTATTTTACTTTTCCTATTCAAAAGCCATACAATGTTAAAGGCCACGGTGACACAGAATTGGCTGATTTATAGAAAGCAAGTAATAAGTAAACAGGATACAAGTTCGTCATTCAACTAAATGATAAAGGATCATTTTATGAAAGAGTTAAACATAACTATAAGAACACATTGTACTCTGATATTACATTTATACTGTGTATATTTTGACAGCATAAATGTAGTTCTTTCAATTTATTTCAATGTACACTGTATCTTTATCTATTCAGCACTACTTGCTTCAAATAAAAAGGGTTAAGTTGGTAAAAAAGGACAGGAAATATATTATGGCAGATGACTCATTAGGTAAAAACATTTATGACTTTGAACCCTATTTCCCTGAAGGAGTATGACTTAAGAAGCAGCAAAGTGTGTTTTCAATGTTGTGACACTAATTACACTTGGAAAAAGGAATTTCGCAGAACAATATGATCTAAAATTCAACATAATTTTGGATCATCATGTCTACCCTTCTCCTAGACAGTTTAAGTTTGTCTACAGTCTTCAATCTTTCTTAACCCCTCTTCCCCTTTAAAACAATTCCCTTTGTTACCATCGGCTGCTACATAATCATAAGCTTATGGTCTATCTACTGAAGGCAAATGTAATATCACTGACCTAGACAAGATATAACAAGGACATCTAGTATAGGCAGGGCATAACTTATAACTTAAAGAGTAACTCCCCCAAGGCTGATGTAGAATTATCATAAAACAGAGAGGGACAAGAGGATAAAGAAGTTAAGTAAAGGAATGCTTTTGAAGAAATGCAGATTGGAATTGACATTTGAGATTCAACTGCATCTAACCTTATACAGTTCTACCAATACATTCCTTTCAGTACATGAAATACCTTGATAAATCAAGAAGCAAGATGGTATCTACGATTACCTCCCAAATCCAGGAACCAAGCACTATGGAAAACTCAACAG